TTGGTGTTGCTGTATCTTTAGTTACCTGTTAGCCTCTGATCTTGCGGCAGAATCTCCAGACAGGAACATGTGCCTGTTTTCAGCTGCACCAGTTTGTAGTCCAGTGTGTTAAGACAAATTGCTTTCAGCAGTTGAAGTACAGGGATGAGTTGTGGCCATGAGATCACGTCTGTTATAGACACAGTAACATCTGCCTAGAGGGACAGAGCAGATTGGCTGAAGTTGTAACTTCATAAGATTAATGCAGCTCTGCTCTCAAAATCTTCAGTCGCGCATGTTGACGGGCTTAGGGGCATCTGAGGTACTGATGGAAATGTTTTGCGAGGGCTGGAGAAACAAAAAACCTGTGTAGTGTTCTCTGTCCTCCGAGTCCCTTCATTTCTTGCAGGATACCCTAGGACTGGTGACTTTGTGGTGCTGCTCTACAAAAGATGCTGTACAAACAGCAGTCGGAGAAGGAGGAGCATGTTGGCCTCAGTGGTTTGTAAATTAGGATTACGGTGCTGTCTTTCCATGCAAGCTACTTCTGCAAAGACGCTTAAGGAAATGGTAACATGCATTCTGCATCTCAGACAGGGTGAGGTTGAATACTGTTGGGAATTTGTAGTGAGACACACAGTTTCACATGGAAATCACTGTTTCTCCATTGTGACAGGGAGCTGTCAGCAGTTGTGGCCTGGGGAAATCAGTTCAGTGATCTCAGTCCGGCTCATTACAGGCAGATGACTACATCCGAGGTCCGCCTGGCCCTCATTTCCACTTGAAGCAAGTTTCTCAGGTGTGGTGGATAGTGACAGAGCCCTATAGTGATGACTGTCTCATGCAGGCTGCAGTCATGTTTGGGTGTGTTACTACACCACTCTCAGTAGAGTCTGGAGATTCGCTGTCTCATAAGCCCACTCTGTATTTAGCCTGTTACAGCTTGTTTACAGGGTCCCTGAGGTAAATTCATTTAACTAACACCTGAAATTTAAGTAATTCTTTCACAGTGAGTTAATCTGACCTCAGGTCACATTAGTTCTGAGTAAGAGTTGTGACACAGGGCTTTGATGTGGTTTAACCCGTTCGAGACTAGCTTTCTTGAGCATCCCCATGGAAGGAGACACACTCTTGACTTAGAGTGATCTGGAAGAACCTGAAGAACAAGTGAGCATAGGACTGCATGGACATGAGCAGCATGGAGCTGTGGTGAGTGGGCCAGGGGCCAGACATGCTGGTAGGATATTGTGCAGAAGTGTGAAATACTGCTGGGTGTTGTATTTTGGAATGAAGGGCTAACAACTTCATCGTATTCCCAAGTAATTTTGAACTTTGAGAATTACTACTTTTTCTGCTCTAAAGTGGCTTCACCAATAATTTCAATCTTTAATAGCCTGTAAAACTTGTAGGGCTAATGCACCTTTTACCCTTGGCCCTACTTGACTGAATCAGATATTGTTAATGCTGGTGCCTCATTTAAATACATTTTTTCCAACTACTTAACGTGGAGCCGCAGTGCTTTGCACACAGGTCACTCTGAGAAGGGCAGGGCACCTGAGGAATCTAAGAGGGGGACACTAGAGAATGTGCTTCTGTCACTGCCTGTGCTATGTACCTGTTCATGACTTCACACACTACAGCAAGAACTCAGTGGGAGTTTTCCAGCTCTAATCTCTAAGATAGACCTGAACCCATCAACATTTTTTCATCTAGAAATGACCACAGAAGTTACAGGTTTATCCCTTCTAGAAAATGTGTTTCTGTAGTGAAGCTGATGTTCTGCTGCAGTTTCTGGAGCTGCTACTAAAGTAGTTTGTACATACGTGGCTATAAGCAGATCAAGTCATTGAGGATTTTGTAACTGGAGTAAGATGTGCATCTAACTCTAAATTAACCTAATGCTTCTTAACATGCCTAATTAACATGCAAATTGGACATAAAGGAACTATGACTATGAACACAGTTATACTGTAAAGTTTTAACAAGGTCTTCACAAAAGAATATGAAAGATTTTCAAGGAGTAGGGTGTGGATCGTGAAAGTGGTAGTGTGAGAGAATACTTTCTCATAGGACTGGGTTTTTCTAGTGAGTTGAAGCGGTATTTGTAGATACCACAACTTTTCAGACTAAGAAAAGCTAAAGTAAGATACTTTTTTTTTTTTTTTTTTTACACACATTTTCAGAAAAGTCTAGTCAGACTGGTGAATCATGCAGTTTGGTAACAGATGGGTTTTAACTTGTATAAATATGCAGGGTGGTGCGTGCTCATAATCTAGACTTCTTATATATGCTGAGCTGAAGAATTATTGCAAGGAAAAGGTCGCCATGGATAGCTCAAAGAGTATATTAGTCCTTGCTGTGATGGAAGTCTAGTACCAGCAATTAAAGGAAAAAAATAAATGAGAAGCTTTGTAAAATATGGCTGTTTAAGTGGCAGACAGATGGCAATGGATGAAGTATGTTACACTGACGTTAAAATAATACAATTCACACTTCCCTGCTTGGTTACATTCAGAAAGGGGTGATATAAAAGACTAAAGCCATGTGCTTTAGCCTTGTGTTCTGCCTATGCATCTCACCATACATGTACAGAATTATTCAGAATAAAATGTTGGACTTTTCACAGATTTGATTTAATAACGTTTAACTGACAAATTAATGTGGGGAAGGGAGGGCAAGAAGGCCATGGAATTGTGCAGAAATTAAATACTGTTTGCATGCTTTACGGAAACTTCATAGGCTGGACTGCTTTTCAACCAGGAAGAGTTTTTTGGTGTTAGCTGTTGACAGCAGGGAGGTGTTGGCTGTAGTTCCCAGCAGATGTGGTTTAGGTTCTATTCACTGAAGCTATCTGGAGTCTTTATTTTGACTTGAACTCATTCTAGTACGTTTTCAGTCCATTTCCTAGGAATGAGGTTCATAGGAATGCCAGGCTTATTTAAGTGGTACCCTGTTTTGGAGAAACACATCAGGAAGGTAAGTCAGGATTTGCCTGAATTATCAAGCAAGCTCTGCGCAATGCCTACTCTGGAGCACATCATTTACCATGGGATGAGGAGTTTCCTTAAATCAGGATGGTTGCATGGAGCTATTGCGTACATACACTTCCTTTTATTCGGGCCTATTACTATCTTTTAGTGAGTATGTGACATTCTTTAAAGTGAATTGGCCCAAGTACAAATGCACATCTGTCAATAGAAGTTGTCCCATTTTTTCTTTATTTAGTCTGAGGCCGGGTTCCACACTAATGAAATCAGTCAGCTGAGACCGACACATTTTACAGTTGGCAGTGTTCTGCAGTGTAAATATAATCCAATTCCTTTAAACTTCAGGTCCTTCAACTCTAGCACGTACTGAATGTTGAAATGACAGGAATAAGATTCTCTTCTGGAGCTTAGAAAGATGCATTCTGCTGCAGTGTGTTTGGAATCCTCTCCCTGTTGACATGTAGATGTACTGCAGAGAGAAAAATATTGAGAAGGATCAGTAGCACGCGACCTCTACAAGAAGGCACTTTTTGATGGCAAATTTCTGGGAGCATCTGCTTTCAGAGCTGCCTTGTTGAAATGCATGTATGACCCCAATAAACTGCAGTTACAGTTTTACAGTAGATAGTTATTTGTAAATTTTAATTTGCTGGTTATAGTAAATGATGGTTTACTTTCAAGTTACATCCCTGTGAAATAGCTCAGATGGCACTTTATAGCTTTTGAGAGTTTGGGTTGTTTTTCTCATGTACAACCACTAGTTGTCCCTAACCAAAAAATACTTGAGACTTTTTTTTGTTTCTGTTTTTTTCTCCCCTGCTTCTTTTTAAATCTTTCCTGTGTACCTTTTCTGTACCTCCTGATCTGCAGTCTCTGCCGCTTCATAAGGTCCTTAGAAAATTCACATCCATGCAGCCACTTTGTGGATTGTTGAGAGGAGAGTGCATGTGCTGGAAATACTGTACAATGGGAAACAGTGGATGATTGGAGAAGTATTTTAAATGCTGAAGAAGATTCTTCAGAGATCTTACTTTTGCATTAAACCAGAATTTAAGTCAATTTTGGACACCAAGGTCCAATAAAATAATCAGAAAGCTTACATTCCAGCAGATGATCATTAGATGCTTCAATGAATTGTGTGCTCTGTTGTGAGTAATAAGCATTTTTTACCACATGACAGAGTTGTGTGAAACACAAAAGGAAGGCAAAGGTGCATAGACTGGAATACAGTGCTTCTTCCAAATCAGTATCTTGCCTTTTTGTTTGTGTGTGCCTTTAAGGTCTGTGGCAAGCAATTCCTGGCTGCACAGGGGCCTGTTCCAAAAGAGCAAGAGGTTCCTTCCTCTGTAGCCAAAGTAGTTGGTTGTTCTCCCAGAAAGCAGAGGTTAGAAACTTCTTTTTATATGAATCTTTTAGGCTGTTCTGCAGAAGGCAGCCTCCATCTCCATGTTTTAAATAGCCCCGTGAGTTATGAGTCTACTTTCAAAAGAAATGGCAACTCAAAAATTAGATTAAGAAATGTCGTGTACAGCATGGGGTCACCTGAAGCTGTGAAGGTCTTGCTTATCTTTTACTTTTAGTGTTCTGCTTGGCATGTGGGTTTTCATAATTTTTTGACTCGTCCCTCTTGTGTACCTTTGAGGTTATCACAAACCACTTTTTGGAGGAAGCTGACTCTACCCATTAACGGTTTAGAGCATTTAAAAGCCTCATGCTATCTGTGTTGCAGTCATGAACCTGACTTTTAGCAAAGCTGGTGGTATCTCGTTTGGTCATTGTCTCAATTAGATCTCTACCTAGATTCTGTGGAGTAGACAGTTTGACCAACAGATACAGTATTTAATATCAGTAAGAAAAACTGCAGGCAAACTGTGATAGTTGTTACCATCTTAGACACAATCCTCCTTTCCAAGACAAAGTTTCCTGTGCCTGCTAGCCAGCCTGTGACAACTGAAATGTTACAGAGACTCTGTGCAGGACCTTTTGTATGTTGAGTGCCTGTAACACTCAGCTTTGTGTTCTGTCCAATTTTAGTGTGCCATCTGGATTTGAAGGTATAAAAGAACAGGAGATCTGCAACAAGATAATGACAAAAATGCTGGAAAATTACAACACCTTGTTTGAATTGGAAGGTTTGAAGAAGGATGAAGAAAAGCCTGTTTGTGAAGAGCTAGCAAGAATTATTTTGGTAAAAGTGAGTATCTGTAATATTTCATTTTCGTATAGCAAATCAATAATGCAGGCTTATAGCAGGCTTCAGTTAAGAAGTCTTTCAGGTGAGTGGGAGACAGGCACGGTTGTAATAATATTTTGTGTTATTGATTGGTATGCGGCTTACAAATCAATTCTGCTGGTGGGCTGATTTCATTACTAGTCCAGAAGTTGATTCTGTTAAACATCTTTATTCTTTGTTAGCTATTCACTGTTATTTATATAGGAAATATATTCACTAAAATTTAAATGCTTTTAAATGAGAAGGCAGAATAACTCAGGAAGTATTCAAGCTTTCTGACATGGTGATCATTTACAGTATACATCAGTGATGATGAATTTTCATACTTTAGGCCAGTATGAGGTCTCTAGCCTTTGCAACTCTGAAGTCGGCTTGTTTCAAACATATACCTGAATTTAAAAATCGTGTTCTGGCTCAGAACAGCCGTTTCTGAGTGCACTTGAAGAGAAGCATTAAATAGTAGTTACTATTTGAAGAAAGTACATGGGAGCTGTTAAAGAAAAGCAATATAATTAAATTATTGTATCTTCGGTGGGAAGAGGGCATATGTGTAACACCAAAGGATTCTAAAGTTCAGAAAAAGTCAACAAAAATAAGTAGGGCAGCCAAAAATGTGTTGTTCTGGCTTGTGCCATCTCTACTACAGGAAGCAACCTCAAGTCTGTGCAGAAAATGGTCATGAGGATGGTTTGCAACCACCTCATTTCCTTTTGTGTGTTAGCTGTGCAGATAATTACTTGCTTTCTAGGTGTGCTCTTGAGTTTGAGAGGGTTGAACTACATGCTTTCCCTTGGTAGGGTTTTGTAAGCGTCCACTGAAAAGTCACCATAGCCTTTACTGGCTGGAATGGAAGTTGTCAGAAAATAAGTTACAAAAATATAGTGTCTTTGACCTTGACAGAACAAGAAGTTTGGTGTGAGCCCAAGTTCAGCTGATTTCACTTGACTGGCAGAAAACATCTCTGCCTTTGCAGCATATTGCAGGAGGGTCTGTTGAGTCTGAACTGCAGGGCAATCTGTACAAGTCTGACCCAGCTGCCTTCAGAAGGCTTGGTTGTTTTCTTATGTGGTGAACTAGTGAGGAAGTTTTTAGCTGTTTAGTGTTTTAGCTGTTACTAACATTCACCTAAAATCCTTCTGTGGAAGGAGATAGAATGACTGATGACTTGCAGTGTCCTCCCTAATATATGTTACTGAAGTCACAGTAACTTCTGAGTAATGGAAATGATCTGCCTGGCAGATGAGAGTGATGTTTAGCAGCTGATGGTCAGTTCAATAACAAAAACAGGTTAAGAAGAATGTAATTGTAGAAAGATGCGGTACTTTCAAGAGCCCAGAAGAAGGGCTTCAGATACGTCTCCACCTCCTTCAAGCCTCAGCCAGTTGCAAAAGTCGAGATAGTCTTTGCCTTCTAAGGTGCACAAAGGTGGAAACCTGGGATATTTCCCACAGCAGTTCAGACGTCTGAGCTATCAAAGTACATGGTGACAACCGGAATTACTCCAACAAAATAGACTGAAAGGTATAGTTACCCAAGTGAGATGAAAAATATTGCCTATCTCTGCCTCAGGAGACAGGTGACTGCCTGAGAGGAGTGAGCCATGCCTAAAGAGAAGGGCTTACATTCTAATTATATCTTTGGATCTTGTTGATAGCTTCCAAATTCTACTGGCAGTCAGCTGCAAAAATTTGACCTTGTTCCTTGTCCTTCTGATTTGGGTGGGAAGTTTTCTAGCTTAACCAAGACAAATACTCAAAACACAAGAAATACAAGCATCTAACTTCATGTAGCAAAGTTACATAAGAAGTGCTTGTTGAAGTTTGTCAGGTGGCTCTTTGAAAGAATGCTTTATACCGTTCCTGAAGGCTACTTTTATTGTATCCTAGCAGATATCCCCTACACTAGCCAATGTGTATAATAAATTACAGATGATGCACTCAAAGAGAAAAGCAAGTGGTAATAAATGAGATTCAGTAGAAAAAAGTGATTGTCAGTTTGCTAATGTGTGAACTGTTACATACAGTAGGAGCTAGCTGATCAGTGTCATAAAAGAGAAAATGCCTCAGAGAATTATTTGGCGTGACCTGGGTCACAGTGTCCAGAAAATAGCAACCTGTTTGTAAGCAGAGTTACTGCTTCTTGAAAAGCCATTGATGAATTTGTATCTGCAGGTGGCTGGAGAGAGATTTGCCAAGTAATCCTGTTGGAAGGAGTGAAAAATGTAGGATGCTCAGGACAACACTCTCATAAACTGAGGCCCTGTTGATTTTAAGGGTGTTGCATTCAAGTATGAACCATGGTGGAATGGGGGAGCAGACAGCAAGGAAAGGGGAGAAAATGAGGATGTGCCCTTTACCAAACTCAGCTGCATTTATCTAAACTGCTTTTTTAGCTTTTACATTGTGAGCCGAAAGAGAGTGAGGAGGGGAGATTTAGATGACCTCGCTCACTTCCTTCTGGGGTATTTCTGTCATCCCCTTCCCCAAATCACTCGCCGTATTGCCAGTGTTTCACCCTGAGTCACTACACTGCTACCTTTCCTGTGATTGCCTTCACTCTCTGTCTTTTCTCACTTTTCCATGTTTGTGTCTTCTCCCAAATTCCCACAGCCCTGTCCCGCTATTCTTCTTGTACTCAAATTTGATAGCCCTTCCTTCCCACACCAGAGAAGAGGCTGACAGTCTGTAGTGAGGTGCAAAACCTCCAGCACTCTTGATATATGGCCTTCCATCACCTCCAGTCACTGTGCACACTTGCTGTAGCCCTTCCACAGCCTGTATTTCTTTGCTATCCTTTCTTTTATGTTCTTGAATGTGGAGATAACTATTCCTCTAGGTTAGTACAGTGCTTGTGGTAATGTGACCTGCCTTATATGTTCTCCTGGGTGTATAGTTTGGGTCTAGGACTTATTGAGACACTTTTTCTAAACAAGTATTAATGCCTCCTTTTGGTTGGAATGCTGCTGTTAGCCTTACCCAAAGGTAAGGTTCCCCAAATGGGGTTAGAGGTACTTACAGGAAGAAATTATGTTTTTACATTGTGTTAAGAGATTAACCTCATGATGTGGTGAAAGCAATCAGTGCTGATCCGGGTGTTTCTCAATTAAGAGTTTAACCTCATGATGTGGTGAAAGCAATCAGTGCTGATCCGGGTGTTTCTCAATTAAGAGTTTGGGAAGAGCGTGTGGTGAAAGCAATCAGTGCTGATCCGGGTGTTTCTCAATTAAGAGTTTGGGAAGAGCCTCTGTAAGTGTGAAACTTCTGATGCAGTGGTTTAAAAAAATTAGTGAAAGACATCAAAAAGTACAGCATCGAACAATGCACTTCTCTCAGTGCTCTAGTATGCCTTTCTAGCTTACTGCATTACAAAATTAGCCCTGCTTTTTCTTATCTCTTTTTCATGGCTTCAGGCACACTCTTTGGTGCTGAAATCTCAACTGGAAAAACAGGAATCTGTCTTTAGTTAGTGTCTAAAGGTATTGCAAGAATATTGTTTCTTCCTGCAGTCTTGGGTCGTTCTTGAGACAGCTCACTGCATATGTGCACTCAGGAGGCACAGGATCATCTTTACCCCAGTTATACTTCTTCAAGATTGCTCAGTCATTGGGAAAGACAAGTTGTGCCAGATAGAGGGATTTCTTAGCTTGCTTTCTCAGTGGATCATAATTCAGAAAGTAAGGGAGCTGGAAATCTCTGCAAGATGCATTCCAGTCCCCGCTTTGTTCCCAGCACTTTAAAGCCTCCTCTTGCTCATCACTCAGGCATATGGTAGGATTATAGTTAGAAATGGTGGGGGGGGGTTTCTTTGGAAACCTCTATGTTAAAAAAGTGCAATTTTCACAAGATAGAAAATCTATCTTAGAATAGTTTTTGTTTCAATGGAAAACTGAACTGTCAGGTTCCTGATGCCTTGCTTGAAAGGACTTCATTAGTTTCACACTCCACCTAGTAGAATGAGATCCATATGATCTTCCAGGCAGGTGGCCAGCAGGTGGAAGTATAACATGTACTTTCTTCAGAAATACATTTTTGGAAACTCCTTCCCCTGAAAGAATTACAAGGTTTGATTTTTTTGATTTTTTTTTTTTTAATTCCAAAATAAGTTGAGGTTTGCTGGCGTTTACAGGTCTCATTTGCAGCCAGCTATTATTACAACCCCTAAAACTTTTATCCAAGCTTCAGTTTAATTTCCTAACCCAGTGAAGATCTGGAGGAGTCTCAGTCTGTTGATCAATAAGCTCTGCTAGTTAGAGAGAAATGGGTAGAAAAATGGGTTGAGTGTTCTGATTAGCTATCTGCTCTGTGTTCAGATTTTGAGCATCATAAATAGCTATTTTTTGATTGGGCAGTGTTATGTGTGAACAATTAATTCTCTGACAGTATAGCTGCACTGCTGTGCGTTTATCACATTATAAGTGTCAAGGTATTCTAATCAAATGTTGTTTATGTTTTGCTTTGGAACAGAATTCCTGGTGTGTATAGCAATGATCCTAATAGATTTTTTTTTTTTAATTTTATTTTTTTTTAACTAAGTGATAACTCATGTAATGAAAGATTAGTTGGTCTTGAGTTGCAGTATCGCAAATTTTATCATCTTCTTAAATAAACAGGTTTACAAAACCTACAGTAACAACAAAAATAGTAATTTTGAACAAGGACCTTTCGTTTCCAAAGATCTTAAAGTGCTGTTCAAACTGCGGCTGTGGATACTCCTACATTGTATAGGTAGCCAGTGGTGTATTGTAACAACTATAATGAAATGGTACCTTTAAATAACAGTGATTAGGCTTCTCTGATGATCAAAGATAGGCAGTGAAGAGGATTTTTATTTAGTTCAAGTGGCAAGGCAAACTATTATGAGACTCACTCTTGGGAGATTTCTGGAATTACCCCTTCCACTGGCTTCAGGTGAAACATGTCATCTTTAGTAGCATGATGTACCTCAATATTGTCTTCAGATAA